CCCACCACCCTGAAATTCAAACACTCTGGTGTGTGGGCTTTAGGAAGGTTTGTGTCAGCATCACTCCACGGGGGAGTATGAAGGACCTCCAAGACAGACTCCATTGCCAGGCCTCCAGGACTAACCTCCTGTTTAACCCTTCATCGTTTCCACTGCCTGAGCAGCACACAGGACTGTGCTCTGGACATGCATCCTGACAGTAGAAAATCCCAAATGCGCTCCTGCCCATGAGCACTGACACAGCTTGTTAGGTGAGAGCACAGAGCTCTTCTCTAACGAGGTTGGCTGAGCAGTCCTGCCTTAGCTGCCAGAGCTTCGTTCTGCTGGATGTGATACTCCTGGAACCTCATGGAGATCCTCTGGGTCATTTTTAAATACTTCTGCAGGCAGTTCTCTGAGCAGGTCATCTAGAGGAAGATGGAAACAGAAGGCTTCAAGCAGTAATTGAAACACTTCCCTGACCAAGACCCAAAATTCTATAGAGCAATAAATGATGAGCTGAGTACATCTCACATTCTGTTAAGCCTCAACATGAGGGTCTAACCATGCACAGCCTCTCTGTGCAGGGGGAAATGGTAAGTTTAGTTTTTGAGGGATGCCTGAAACACCTTGGAATACTAATTCCTGTTAGAAAGTCTTCATGGAAAACATCTTGGATCTAGGAGATATCACCATTACAGCCTTTGGGCTCCTCCTGTGAAACTGAAGTGTATGAAGCATTTTTATTTTGCAATAAACGCTAAACCTATTAAATGAGTATCTTCTTTTTAAAGTTCTGTTTAAAAGCTCTTTCTGACAGCCAAGTGTGATCTCTGCTAAGTTTAACCTTTCTTTGACCTTGTTCCCATTAGCTCTATCAGTCTTTGGTACCTGCTTGGTTACTTCCCAGCAGGGCAATTAAGAGTACATCAGAGCAGTTCCAGCAGTGAGCTGGACAGGGAAATCAGTCCCAGAGCCTATTCCATCCAGGGGATTAATTCTTTCATTTAAAGATGTTTTTTTTTCTTTCTTTAAGTGTAGAGAAAGAGTTATGAGATTATTTCTGAGCAACAGTTGTACCAAGTGGTTGTTGTGTGTCATGATTCCAAACTTTGCTCTAGCTGTCAAGGAAAGACAATTGTTTCTGTGCTGCTTACTGTCAGGGATGTGAAAAGCATTAGCTACAGAAAAACCTGCTGAGCAGGACTGAAGTCTCACCAGGAAACAACTTCTGGAACTACTCCAAGCCTCTGCTCCCAGAGGGAGTGGTTTTCTTTGACAGGGTGCCCAGGAAGTCTAGACTTGCAGTAG